CGCCAGCGAGCGAGGGGCAGGCAGGGAATGCGACAGCGCCTGGATGGGGCCAGCAGCCCTGAGGCCTGTGAGGGCGTCCCTGGTCGGTGGGGAGCCTCGTGGGCACATTATCCAGTCCCGCCAGTTTGCTGCAGCTCTTGTGCAGGGTGCCGGTGGGGCCCTCTCCGTCATKACATCCGCAACGCTGCAGCTCCCGCTGCCGGCTCTTCCTTCCTGGTGTCGACGCTCCGGGCRTAAGGAAGTCCCGCCGATCAGCGGGCTCTGCTTCGCGGAGCCTGCAGGGACTCACTCCCGTCGGGGGCTTTAATGCACTTGCCTTGTGTTTCTTCCTTTGAAAATGGAGATTGCTCTGCCATCGAAACACGGTTGCAGAGTAGGAGCGCTGCTGTTATCCATATGCCCAGGCCTCYTTCCCAAGCCTCCACGGTTGCAGGCTGAGGGCGGGCAGCGGGAGGCGGGAAAGGGAGTGTGACCGGGAGCGAGCGCTTCCCAACGCCGCGCGCATTGAAGCCTCTTGCGGCAGCTCYGCCGAGCGACGGCCGCCCGGCCTCCCTCGATCACGGAGCTTAACGGGTCACTCCGACTCGGCAGCGTGATGCTCGTGACGGGAGACACCTTTGAAGGCCGTAGGCGGGGTGATTCAGGATTGATCGGAGTGATCCGGTGCTGCGCATCCCACTGTTATTACCATTCACACGCAGTCCCTGGGAGGAAGCTTTCTAACAACTCATGCTATCTCTCACGGCCCTTTCCCCCCGCCGATTTTGTATTATTATTATTATTATTATTCATCAGATTCCCGCTGCAAACGCCCCCGGGCGGGTGGGAGGTGCGTGGGCGGGAGATGACTTGGCTTTGTTGGAAGTTGGCTTAATGCAGRCTGGGGGCAGAGGGAAGCGGGCGCGATTCCGCAGCTGCCGAAGGCAGAGCGAGCTGCTACCTCGCTGGCGAGCACGCCTGCAACCGAAAATGAATCACAGCCTTGTTAGACACCCAATGTGTCAGCGCACGTGGGCAGGAACAGCACGGAGGAGAAGGAGCAGCAGGGAGACGGCGCCTCTCGGAGCGCGCGGGTGCTGCCGACATGGCCCTGGGATCTCATCGCCCTTAGAGGTAGGTTGTAAGGAGGGCAGAGCCATGGAGGGGCAGCCCCGCGTTGCAGGAGGCGCCGGTGTTGGTCCGCGTGGCGGGATTCGGGATGTGTTCCCGAGGGGCGGCTGATGGGAGAGCTCCGTGCTCGGCAGCACCGGGCCGCAAGCGTCAAGGACGGCTTTTTAACCAAAGGACAGGTTGGTAGAGCGGGCTTTCCTGCGTGCCCTGCGAGGAGAATGTAGAGCTGGTTGGGGAGCTGTTGTGGGCAGTGCCGGCTGGACAGGCTCCGGGGAAAGCAGCTCTAGACTGTATTGCGCTGCCTGAAGTTTAACGAGAGCAAACTCTTGCTGTGTKGGGCTTTTCCTTCTTCCTGCTCCCCCTAATATTCCCGTAGCTCCTCGCCCCTCCAGAGCTGGCGTGTCCAGGTTCCTTTGCAGGTGGCTTTCGCAGGCATTGGCCCAGGATTCCTTGTGCAGTTGGAGGGCAGACAAAAGCAGAGCCTGGGCGAGCTCTGTTGGGTTTTGAAGCGCTGGAGATGAGCGGCTCCTCCTTCATCCCGCTCCCGCAGAGCAGGTGCTGAACACCAAGTGGCCTCGGAGCGTTGGACACGGCCACAGCGGAGCCTGCACTAGCAGAGCCCCTTCCCACCCCACGGGAACCGCACGGGGAGCTGGAATTCTCCACGTTCCCCTGGGAGGAGCCTCGGCTGGATTCTGCAGCCCCTCGGAGCAAGGCAGCCGCGCGCAGCACAAAACCGCTGGATTGCTGAGCAAGAGCAAGAGCACGTTCTGCAAAGCGCGGAGTTTAGCCCCAAGCAGGCCGGAACAAAGGGCCGTTGTGAGCGGCGTGCGCGGCTGYGAGGTTGTGCGCGGCCCTCCTATTTTTTTTTTTCTGTGGGAGTTATTTCCTGTTGTTGACTCGCGTTCTTTATTTAGAACCACCTAGCTGCTCAGCGGCGGCCGCCTCGCGAGCGSAGCCGCGGCCGCCAGAACTCGCGAGCGCTTCTCTCTTCCCCAGGACTTGCTGCTCCCGTCGCTCCAAGGCGAATCTCTGCTAMCTGAGAAAACACGAGGGAAAAAGGGGGATTCTTCCCGTGGTTTCGCCCGCGTCAGCCGTGACGGAGGGCAGAAATGCGTTGGGAGCCCCAGGTCTTTCGCCAGAGCATCTCATGGGAGATGAGGTTTTCCTGACATCTCAGGGAAGACAAGGTTTTCCTGACATCTCAAGGAAGACGAGTTTTTCCTGACATCTCAAGGAAGACGAGGTTTTCCTAACAGACGAGGTTGCTTTTATGCTGTTCTGGTTGCAGAGCCCCAGACGAGGCTGTAGTGCCTCAGCTCTGCAAGGGGCTCGCAGGGAAACTCTTTCATCCTGGAGCTAATGGTCCCCAAGAATGAGGAGCTGCCCCTACYGCGAGAGCCTGGGAAAGGTTAGAGGCAAAGCTCAGCTTAAAGCAACGGGCTCGGGTCCCTTTCCCTTCGTGCCAAGGTGTTTCTGCGCGCCGAACGCAGCGGGAGCTGAGGCTCCATTTGATGTTCTCCTCCTGGGCTGCTTCGGTTTTTCCTATTCTAAATTTGGTCCTGCACATTCAACTTTGGTTTTTTGGGGTCTTTTTTCCCCCCTTTTCTTCCTAAAGGAGAAGCTGCAGAGGTCACTCTGCTGGCCTGCGTTTAGACGCCCCCCAAAGCAGGAGGGGTTCGGCTTCACGTGCGCGCGGCGACGTTTCGCTCTCCTGGCAGCTGGAGGGAGGATTTATCATTGCAAATTTGGCCTATTAATAAAACGCCTGCATTGCTCAAATCCAGAGGGCTGCGTGCACTGGGTGTTGGTGCAAAAATCCCGTTTTCCTGTATGTGAGAGCTGGAAGGTGTTTCTTCCCGGGAACGCACCTGCGCTTATCCTGTATCCTGGTATCATTTTGGACTCCAGCAACGTGGCTTCAAGTGCTCCGTAACATCTCCGAGTGCTCCGTGACGACCCCACGGAGCTCTGGAACCAAGTGTTCCAGCAAGGAATGACTCCTGCTTCGACAGCGGCCATGGAATGAGCCCTGGAAGGGAAGGAAAAGCCAGGATCATCTCGCAGCCYCACATTGTCCAGGAATCTGCTCAATGGAAAGTGGCACGGGAAGCAGCGGGGCTGGGAGTGCTCGAGGAGCCTGGATGCGGCACAGAGCACCGGCCGGGAACGCCACAGGGCCGGGAATGCCTGGGATAGCCAGAGGATGGCCGGGATAGGGACAAGGATGCCCGTGAGGCAGAGCCCGCAGCCATCCGGGATGCGGGATGCGCMCCAGCCGTCTCCAGAGGACCCGGAGCACACAGGGAATTAGGGAGGGAGCCGTCCCCGGGCGGGAGGAATGCGGCAAACCCTCCTCTGACTAAGCCAGCCAAGGCCCCGTGGGGCTTGGGTATTTCTTTTTTTCCTGATAGTCCTGTTCCATAATATTTCCTTAATGATTGAATGCGTGAAGAGCAGCACTTGGGAAAAGCACCTAAATCACCCAGCCCCTTTGGCAGGTGGAACCTGGGCACCCTTGTCCTTGTCCTTGTCCTTGTCCTTGTCCGCCCCGGGAGGCGCGTCCAGGTAGGCCTGTCGAGTGCTCACTTGGAGCTGTGGAGCGAGGGGATTTTCCTTTTCATTCCTAAAGAATTTCACATACGGCACAAATCTTGGCGCTGCCAAGAATCTCCTTGTTACTCCTTGATGTTTTGGGCCTGACGCTGTGTCGCGGAGGCCGAGGGCCGTGCCTGGGCAGCGGAGCCTGCAGGAACGCTCAGGACGTTGAGCTTGGCCGACGGCCGCGCGCTGCTCATCCCTGCTCCTGCCCAAGGGGGATCCGCTGCCCAGCCGGACACGTAASGTATGATACCGCATTAGGAGCGAGGCCGCGTTTGGTCATGCTCATTAATTAAACTCATTTCTCCTGTAGGGGTTTTTTTTTTCCTTCTCTTGGAGAACTAACAGGGAATGATAATCAAGGCCATTATGCATCCCAGGGAACGGAGCTTCTCCCACCGCCGCAGGAACGCTAAAGAGCAGGAACTAAAGCAGAAAACTTACATTTTAGCCCCTTTTTTTTCTGAATTTGGGCACGAAGGGCAAGCTCTCCTGCTCCGTGGGGAGGCAGGACGCTTCCCGGGGCTTCCCTGGGCTGCTCCGCACTCTCCTGCGCCGCGGGGGCATTCAGGAAGAGCTGCTGCTCCGTGGGCACCGCGGGCGCACGGAGGGGAACGGGGCTGCCCTGTCCTGCCGGGCCCTAGTCCCAGCTCAGCYAGCCCTGGCCCTGCAGCTGGAAGGGAAGAGGCCGAGGAGGCGCCTGGAAACACGGGAAGCGTTTCGCCCCTTCTGTTGTCAAGGAGGAGGGAGCGCTGCCCTCCATTCCCAGCTGGCACCTGCTGGAAACGGCTTCGTCTCCCCTGCCGTGGCGGAGCCCCGTTTCGGCTGTTCTGCGCCGAATCTCACGATTGCAGAGGGCAGATGCAGTTTCTGCCCCCGAGGCGCGCGGGCTGCAGAGGAGCCGCCGTTGCGGGGAGCCCACCCGTGGGGCTGGCCGCAATTCCCGAGCGCCGGCACGGCGCTCCAGCGCAGCCTCCAGCGCAGCCCAGGCCTCTGTGGCAGCAGCAGGAGGAGGAGGAGGAGGAGGAAGGCCGAGGCGGGGCCGTGACGCTGCCGGGGAGCAGCGCAGGGGCCGCCCCTGTCGTCAGCCGGCGCGGGCGGCGAGCGCTGCGGGCCGCGCTGCCGCCTTCCTCCTCCTCCTCCTCCTCCTCCTGCATTGTATAATGCTGCGTGATCGCGGGCGCCGGGGCCGAGCCGGGGCTTAGATCCTGCTGCCGCTTCCCGGCGCGCCGAGGGAGCCGCGCATGGAGCTGCTGTAGCGGGAGCGCCGGCGGCCGCGGGCTCGGCTGGAGCCGCGCGCGGTGAGTGGGGCCGTGGGCGCCGCGGCTCGAGCGGTACCCGGAGGCGTTCGCTGCTTCCCGCCGCGCGCCCTTCCCGAGGGGCTTCCTCCCGGCGTCCCCGCGGGAAGTTGTGCGGCGCTCGGGAAGGGCGCCGCTCCCGTGGGTCCCAGCTGGGGAGCAGGTGCGGGCCAGGCGCAGGCGCCGGCCGCGCTGCCGGCGGAGCCCGGACGCGTCCCGGTGCCGGTGCTCCCCACGTGCGCGCGGCGTCGCCACCGGCAGCCCTGGCTGCTCCGGGAAACCGCCCGCGCGTCCCCGCATCCCGCGGCCGCCGGGAGCGCAGGGTCCCTTGGAGCCAGGGAGCTGCACCGACTCCCGCAGCATCCAGCGGAGCAGCTGGCTCCTGCTCTCCGCACTGGCCTCCCTGCAAAAACACCCCCGTTTTGGGTACTCCGTTCTTCCTGTTTGGAGCACAAGGAAACTTGCCGGCCGGGGCGCCTCGGCTCTGCGCTGCGGCTGGAGCGGCCTGGAACTGCAGCGACTCTGTCCGCAGGTGCTGGGGTTTTCGGAAACGCGGCGTGCGTCCTGTGCGTGTGGTTTTCATGGAAAAGATGAAATAATGACGCTGCTTCTCAGTGTTTTGGGGAAGTGACGATATAAATAACCTGAAGACTTGAACTCCGTGCCTGAGAGGCATCAAGGAGTTTGAGATAATGCACTAATAGCAGAGAAAACCTCTAATTTAGTAGTTTAGATGGGCTTTTTCTTTGCCTTCCTTTGCAGCCTGCGTGCAGCACAGCAGACACTATGCAATATCCGCTTGGAAGCGTTTTGCCATCACTTACACCAAGCGCTCCTGCTTTCCCCATGGATAACATTGGGATCTGTGTTTTTCAGGACCCTGGCTATTCTAGCAGCCGTGCAAGTGCCTCCGGGCCAGGCGGGCGATCCCGGGTGCCCGCGGGCGATCCCGGGTGCCCGCTTTGCCGCAGCGCCTCCAAGCGCGGCCCGCGGGGCCGGGTGCCTGCGCTCTGCCCGGCTGCTCTCCCCGTCCCGCGGCTCCTCCCGAGCCCACTTTTACCCACACCCGGCTCCGGGCGCGCTTCCTTGTCCCCCTTAGGAAAGGGGAGAAGCGCCCGCGGTGCCCGAGGCGGCCGCCGTGGGCTAGYGGGTCCGAAGGTCCCGCACGGCTCAAGGAGGGAGCAAGGTCCGCTCGGCACGGAGGAGGGCTGGCAGCCGCCGCCGGGCGCTGTGTAATTCCTGACARAGTCAGCTCTGTGCTTGCTGGGCGAGGGCTGCACGCTGGCACTTTGCTTGGGGAAACAGCCCATGTGAAACAGCCCAAATCCAGTGTTTTCTCCCTAAGAAGTAAAGCCCAGCACCAAGCTGGCGTGGGCAGCGCGAGCCGGGCCTGGAGGAGGAGCGGCCGCCGGGGGCCCGTGCCCCTCACGTGCCTTGGGGGGCCTGGCCGGCGTGGGGCTCGCGGCGATGCTCCCTGCGCCCCGAGGGGCCCYGGAGCCCCTGCCTCCGGCTGGGGTGCCTCGCGGCGCATCTGCTCCCCTGCGTCCGGAGCCGGAGAGCGCCCGGGCCCGCTCCCCAGGGCTGCTTTTAAAGCTGGGCGGTGTATGGAGGCAGCAGGGAGAAGTTCCTCTTTCCAAGGAACTCTCAGTGGGCCCAAGGAGCCGAGCTCGCCCTAGAGCCCGCTCGGATGGTCCGCAGGAGGAAACCCGTCGCCGTGCGGCCCGAATCCCTGCTCCGTCCCCGCGCTCGCCTCCCTCAGCGTTCCGGCCTTTCCCGGCGCTGCCGCGGCGCCCGTGACCGCAGCCCAACTATGCGGATGTTCGTGGGGCGGAGGCGGGAGCAGCGCAGGGCACCCGGGAAGCAGCCCGGGCAGGAGCCGCAGCAGGTCRGACGGGTTTGGGGCGCCCGCGCGGGGCCGGGAGCGGAGCGGCTCCGGATCGCGCCGCCGGGTACGGATCGGGGCTCGTGGAGAGGCGCGGGGCAGCACTTGCACTGAAATCAGGGCATGTAGAGTTGCGCAGAACAAATGGTCCCCGTTTGTTTTYTTTAAGGGAATTGCTTTGGCATTGCCATTCTTCTTACGAAACCCAGCAGGTGCCATAAAAATAAAAAAAAAAGGTCTCTTTTCTGCCTACCTTGTGGCTTTGCCGGGCGAGGACAGGCCAAGGCTGGTCAAAGTCCCGTCCAGGAGCGCTCCGGGACGCGGGAAGYGGGGCCGGATCCGCACGCGGGCCCCGTGCGCCCGGCCGGGGCGCCGCCGCCGCTCTCCTCTCTCTGCATTTTCCCTCCTTCCTCCTCTCACGGCTTTGGGCAGCGAGAAGCCGGCAGGCCGCCGCTCGCACGGCTGCTCGCTGCTGGGATGTGCTTTCCATTTTCCAGTGCACATTTCTGCAGAGGGGGTTTTTTCTCTCTTTTTTCATCCTCCTCCCCTCCGTTGGCTGCCTCCCGCTCTGCCCGTGATCATTTATTCACACTCTTCTCAGAGCATTAACCTACTTCCCGGCCAGCGCTGGGCTCCTCCCGCGGCAGCGCCGGGGTGTCTTTCCCCTGCGCGTTTGTTAGGCTTTGGATCGGGGAAAAAAGAGGGAAAAATGGGGTATCTCCGGGGAGAAGACACTGCGGCGCCATCCGTAGCAGCAGCGCTGCCCAAGCAGCGGGAATGCRGGAGGAAAACTCCGGGATTGGGGAGACGGGCTCCCCGTGGCCGCAGCCCAGGCTCCTTGTTCACCTTCCGGCCGCTTCGTGGTGGGTTTTGGAGGCGCTAACGAGCACGGCTCTGATTGAACCCTGCATTAACTGCTGCAGCACCCTAGAATTCCCAGTCTTATGAACGCCCCTAATAAYACGGCTATGATCTAGAAAACCCAATCCCCCTGTTTTTCCTTCTTTTTTCTGCAAACAGTGACTAAGGGAGGCAGTGGTTTCCTGCAAGCCCTGTTTCCCAGGTGCTTCCCGGCTCTGGGCCGAGCCGTGGGTCAGGCCGTTCGCAGGGATCGCGCTCGGGAGCGCTGGGAAGCACTGGAGCTCTGGGAAGCTGCTGAGCCCCAGCGCAGCCGGGCRGGCATGGGGACGCGCCGGGAAAAGGGGCCTCTCCAAGAGCCTTCCCGCCATCCTCACCGGGATCCCGGYGCTTTTATCTTCCCTCTGGCCTGGGCAGCAGGGTGGGACGAGCAGCTCGCGGGAGCGAGTTCCGGGAAAAGCCCTCCGTTTGGGAGGCGGTTTAGCCTAAACTGCCACAAAACACGGAGATGCAGCGCTGGAGCAGAGCGTTCCTGCTGCTGCTGGAAGGAGCGGCCGCTTCTCCCCGCGTTCTCGCYGTGCCCGGGGCCGTCCCTGCTCCTGGCGCGCCGGGAGCCCCGGAGCCGCAGCGAGCGCCGCATCCCGCCCGGCTTCCCGCCCAGGGAGCCGCCGGCGCCGCCCTGGCCGAGCGGCCCGCGGTCCCGCTGCCGCGCGCCCAGATTCCAGATTCCAGGCGTGGGGATCGCTGCTCCCAGCCAAGCGGCTTGGCCGGCAGCCCGGCCGGCTCCCCGCCCCCGCCGCGCTTCCCTTAATTGCATAATACGCTGGAAAGCCGTGGACGGGCGTTGGGGATCCGCCACGGCGCGGGCGGGCGGGCGGGCGGGCGGGCAGCCCCTCCGCGCAGCCCCCGCGGCCCTCACCGAGCGCTCTCCCTCCTTCCTTGCAGATATATGTTGGGGAAAGGAGGAAAGCGCAAGTTTGACGAGCATGAAGACGGGCTGGAAGGCAAAGCGGTGTGCGCCGCCGACGGTCCCTCCAAGGTGTCGTACACGCTGCAGCGCCAGACCATCTTCAACATCTCCCTCATGAAGCTCTACAACCAGCGGCCCCTGACGGAGCCCAGCTTGCAAAAGACAGTGCTCATCAACAACATGCTGCGGCGCA